TTTGGAGTATGCGGTGCTTCGATGACTTTGGCAATTTATTAGGCACCCGGTAGATCATAGAGAAGGATTCTTCCACGCTGGCTTTGTGGCCGGTTTGCACCAGATGGTCCAATATCGAACTGTTAATGGTTTTCACTACACCTTTACTTAGCCATACTGGGAGATGTTCTCGAGAACGAAAAATCAAGTTTCTAGAGCAACGACCAATATAACTCGCTCCACAAGCGCAGTTGAATTGGTAGATACAATTTGAGGTGGCTAGTCGAGGTACTTCATCTTTCAGTTGAGGTAGCACCATCGGTCATGTAGAGAATAAGACGTGTAGTTCGCCAGCATTAAAAGTTCTTTGAACAGATTTTCTTAATTTCTTCGGAATTATCTCACTTGGTATATCACCTTTGAATTGTAGTCATATATAAAGTGGCTTCTTGTTTACAGATAGTGAGTAGTCCTTTTCCGCTTTCGTTGTCATATGTTTCTTGATAAATTTGTCGGGATAGCCATTTTCTATCAAAGTATCATATACAATTCTGAATTCATCTTCAATTACTTCTTCTGAGCATATAGCTCTAACTGTGTGGCTGAGGGTCTTCACCAAATTTCTTTTGTACTTGATAGGAACGAATTTGTTGAGTAGATAGAAGGTCTAAACGTCTCCAACAGATTCCTCGTATCATTGGATGTTTCATCATTATTCACAAACATCCCCTTGTATCAATCTATAGAAATTGTATGTCAACGCTGCGACCTACTTACTTTTAATCATGTGGACTAAGAACGTGCAGTCCAAGTTCACTAACGTCATGTATTATCAGATTGATAGATTTGCTATGGGCGCTACATTAAGTTCATACTAGTGAATACATCATCTGAACCGATACTGTTTCACCCGAAGTATGCTTTAGTGCTACTTCACGATGCTCTTTCTCGATTTCCTTCGAGAACAATATATATATATATTGTTCATGCATGGGTGTATGCAGCTGACAAGAACCAATGAAATATAATGACGGTATTTTATCCTACTCAGTGTGTTTTTTCTTGCATTGCCGAAGTTTATTTATCAAAGGAAATACTTGTAAGAAATTTCTATTTGATATAGACTTGGCCTGTTATTCTAACAGTGTGTCGATGGAAATGCGGTAGGATGCTCACAAACCACGCAGGTGGTTCGGGGTTCAACCCTTGGTCGACGCATTCCTTTACCTCGCCAATAAGACAGGTAAAGACGGAAGGTTGGGTATGATGCTAGCAACCTCATCCCATAAATATAAACACATTAGTGATTACGCAACCGAAAGTTCAAGCCTCTAGCTTGAAGCCATATGTTCGACTGGGAACGTAAAGGAATAAAAAAAGTCAGTCTAACAATTACTTATAACTATTGATTGTTACTAAAACCTGTTACTTTTTTTATTATGTTTTAACATAACAAAATTATACCTTATAATTAGAAATATATAAATGCATGAGAACACTAACAAAAAGTCATGCATGTCTTATACATACACACATTCATAGCATTTCTAATTATAAGTAATTAGGTGTGTAGTACAAATATCAATGTTTCAAGACTTTCTTTTAATGTGTACATATACAAACTGGCTCCAACGCCATTTTGCAATTTCCCATTATGCTATTAATACGCACATTCCTTGAGTTTGTAATTAAAGCCAGGTAATTGAAATAATTAAAACAGTTAGATAAGTTCTAGATCTTTCTCCCTAGATAATCTCTACCTTTTATTTTACTCATATAAACTGCCTACTAGAGAACATTTCCTTAATAACCAAGTATTTTTTAATTTGCGCTTGGTCGTCAGTACTTACAGGTGTGGTAGAGTACTGAATTATTGGGTACATAGGTAAATTACGTTAAGTAAGAAGTGGTAAAGTGTAGCTTATCAACAGCACTACTAGTACCTTACAGGTGAATGATATACAAGTTAAGAAATTATCTACATAAGGCTATTCAAAACTAGCTAATCTCATTCCTCAACATGAAGGAAGAGGTTTTATATATTTTATTAGTCTATACCCGATAAGCTTAGGCATAAAACCATACACACAACAGATTACCGGTTAGAACTCTATCTCATCTATCAAGACTTGATCAGTCGCACTGCTTAATCAAGTTTTATTCAGTAGACTCGACTAATAGCCTAGTACAGAAAGCATTTTGAACATGATCAGTCTAGAATCCTTGGGTGATCCAAGTAGTATGATATTTGTAACATGTGCTGTTCTACCCACTCGTTGACTAAAGTTAGTGGTATTAACCAATAGTAGAATCTGTAATGAATCATAGTAGGATTTCTTCCGAGTATCAGTATTATGCAAGAGTAACTACTGCTCCATTCGAAGCGAAATTGAATATGCTAATTACTGCTTTTCGTTGTTAACTACTTGTAAATACGATCCAATTTGATAGATATAATAAACTTTAGAGAACTAGAAATCCTCTTCTTTAAAATATCTGCCGTTAATTCTTTCCTGAAGTCCAGGTTCTTTGGCACAGAATAGCATTCTTCTCTTCTTGGTTTTGTTTTGATATTGTTCTCCACAAACCGTGCTGGATATTCATCTTTGGCAAGGATGATAGGGAAGATCTTCCCTGTAGCAACGCTTAGACTGATATACTCTAACTATCCATTGCTTCTAAGCAATTTGAATGACAAACTCCCACATACGACGACTTTAATGTACTTATATCAGTTCACCTGTTGCTTTGTTCTATGTACACCCTTTCTAAGATAAGCACTTACAGGTAACCATTATGTTCACCTGTCTGGAACTATATTCATCAGACTAAGAGTGGAACAGAAATACTAACGTAGGTGAGTTTAAATGTTGTTCAACATCTTGATCAATCAGATTTTCTTATCAATGGTACACTCAAAGAAAACTACAACGATCCTAGATACTCAAGTTCATCGATTTCTCATTAGCACTGCCTAGCATGTAACAATAGATAAATAAACTCTGATATAATTTCACCTCACTTATCATATTAAACGAAACATAATATTTTATTGATCCAATGAAGTAATTATTAGACACACGAGTAAAACCTCTCAATGGTCGTCCAATAAATCTTTGATATATTAACGAAAACAAAACAGGTAGCTCAGTGAAGAGACCGTTTTCCGGTGAATTCACTTACTAAGCCATTCAATGATCATAGCTGTCAGTATTATTCAATGAATAAGAGGAGTTGAGTAAATGTACTGGAGTTACATAATAGGACGAATAATTTTAACGGATGAGTTGTAATCGAGATGCACCTTGTCAACACTGGTCATTCAGCCTCAACAAACACCTGCTTCAAAGTAATCCACAGAGTGAAAAATAACCTGTCAAAGACAATACGCTCCCGTCTCCTCTACATTACTGAAGCCCTAGATATTTAGATAGTGAAACCTGAGCCATCCGTACAAAAGAAGATTATTCAACTACTTCTATTGTCATCGTAACAACCTCATTGATTTCTAATAACTTGATTCTTGCTTGTTTATTTCTCAACTTCTTATAACTCTTGTATTTCTTTAGAACTCTTATATAATTCCATATTTTCCTTCGTTTCTATGTGCATCCTGATTACAACTCATTTTATTACATAACTCTAAAAGCAATTATTCAGCTCCTTTTGTGCAGTGAAGAATATTAAGAACTACATCTGTTACTATTCCTTATCATGAAAAAGAGATTGTATATAATTGCAATTGTACAAGTTACTAAATGAATTCACCGGTAAACAGACTCTTCACTGAACAACGTCTGGATGGGGACTATTTATCGATTTCGTGTATTCCCCCTAAAAATAAACACGAAATTAAAAAATTGACTCTTTAAAATGATTTTGACTAATTAAAAAAAAACTCTTAAATGACTCAGACTAGAAACGGCACTCATTAAATTTTTCCTAATGAAAAATAATGTTAGTTGTATGAGGCAAGCTGTTAGGCTATTCAAATACACATTAAGATAATGGGAATTGACTTCTGTCTCAAATAAAGCTTTATTTATAGAGATAAAGCATGCCAACATGCTGGTTGCCATCAGCCATTAAATAAGTTACAAGTATCACTACTGGAGAGCGCTTCAACAAAGTACAGCGACTATTCAACAAATTTGATTTCCACTAATCACAGCAATTCGTCCCTGGAAATGAACTAGTATCATTCATAGTCTTTTCTCTATTCTGATATAGATAATACGACTCAGCTGATTGAATCTTTAATTTAATCCACTTAAGCCCTCAACATCAAAAATAAGATCCGGATGGATCAGAGACTTGCACTGCGCATCATAAAGAGCATCTCAAACAAACTACAGACCTTCATTAACAGTTGTCTTCGCTCAATACTCAACATCAGATGGCCAGAAAAGATCAGCAATAAAGATTTTTGGGAGCGAATTAACCAGGAACCAATTGTGAAACAAATAGGCAGGAAGAAATGGAGATGGATTGGCTGGCCATACTCTGAGGAAACAATCCGTCAAGTGACATCACTAGACAAGCCATTGCTCGAGTGGAACCCGAAACGGAAGCGGCGAGTCGGTCGTCCAAGGGTGACTTGGAGGAGGTCATGTGAAGAGGGGATGAAAACGTGTGGGCAGACTTGGAGACAGGTGAAGACTCTAGCAGAGAACCAAACGCAATGGAGCCGCACGGCTGAAGTCCTATTTTCCTCTAGGAATTAAAGAAAACAATAATAATAATAATAAGCTTAATTAGTCGTCGTCACATTGGGACAACACTATGCTAGATTTCAGGCGGTTAGAAATGACCCAGCAGGAAGATTTAGACCTCGAGGTGGTAACATCCACTGTCTGCTGACAATAAATAGGTAATCTAGATGTGACTGTTTAATAAACTAGCAACCCTCTCTAGCCAAGGTGTATGTAGTTAGATCAATTTCCCAGATACAACAACAACAACAACACAAAACACTAAGGTTACATCTTGTTCTTTAGCATCTTTAGCAGAATAATTATTATCAGTATCATATCAACTGTCAAGCAAAAAAACAAACAAAAGAAAATAAATAAACAGGGAAAAAACCAGCATTGATGAAATCTCCGGGCCTTATGTCTCAATTTTATGTTAACTTACAATATCTTGCTTGTGTATGTGTTAGTTAGAAAGACAAGACGGTTAGCAGAAATGTGAAAAAGATTAGTTAAAAGAAAGACTTAAAAGTGAAAGACAGTTCAACAATTCAGTTGGTTATAAGTGAACGATGGAAGTAGTACAAGTAATAACACTGGTGGAATAATAATAATTATTATTATTATTATATATGAAAGTAAACACATTCCACTCTTAATTATCAGTTATTGAGTATTAAGTACATAAGTGTATTTAGGTGTATGTATATGTATGCAGATACACGTATGTATGTATGTTTTAAGTAGGTTCAATTATTACCATCTCTGTGATAAAACACGTCCATCCTGAATAGATTTCTCTGTTTGTTTATATAATTGTGCTGTTGTTTGTTTGTTTGTTTGTTTTAGCCTTGATTATGTTGTACTTCTTTCAAGAATCGTAGAATATACATAAATAAGTTTAATATATCCAAATAAAGATCAATACATGCCATAATGTACTCCTCTGGTGAACAATGATGCATTATCCTCCATGTATCGTAAACGATAAACAGACTGAATAGACAAGCCCCACCGACTGCAATACCAAACTCTAACAAAGATGAACCTAAAAATAACTGGACAACAACAACAACAAAAATAACAACAATGGAAGGTGAACGGAAATACAATGAAGTATAAGATTATGACAAAAAGAAAATCAATAACTACTCTATTAGTGCTAAGCTACTACTTATATGTATGTATATGGACAGTTTTCAGCCACAGATTATTGATTATGTATCAAAAACGGCAGTTAAGGAATTAAACTTAAGTATCACACTTCTCTTCCGTGGTTTTTTGAAAAGTAACCATTAACTATAAACACTATGAAGATAAAGTTTTGGGAAAAGAGATTTCATGATTTCAAGTTTGATGACGACCTGACTTCAGTTCCAAAACCATTAGAAACTAGGAAGTACCGGATAATCGTTTCGTCCTAGTAGTTTGAGACTTTCAGCAGAACACACCGATGAACCCACTGAAGATGGAACCCAGAATCTCCAGATTACAAGGAGACCTCGTTGACCATTAAGCCACTGTGAAACGGAATCCAATGGCCTATAAATTCTAAGTGCGTCGGTGGCACAGTGATAGAATACTCGCCAACCACGCAGGTGGTTCAGCGTTCGATCCTTGGTCGACGCACTCCTCTACCTCACCAAGCCAGTAATAAGACTGGTAAAGAGAGAAGGTTGGGCATGATGCTAGCAATCCCCATCCCGTAGAAGTAAACACCACTGCTACCGAAACTTCAAGCCTCTAGCTTGAAGCCCTATGTTCCACTGGGAACGTAAAGGAATAAAAAAAGGAATTCTAACTTCAGACAATCCCTACATCAAAATCTCGATAATCAAACAATTCAATGAATCTGTGTAAGTAGGTAACTAGCATAACAAACAGATACCTCAAGTTATAAAGGTAAGTTTTTCACTCACTAATTTGGGCAGTCTACTTCTAACCAGTAAAGAATAGACTGAAACTTCAGGTTATCCAACAACGTCTGGTAAGCATTCATAAACAATAAGTGTCTCTCACAGTTTATGGTTGTGCGATGTGATCGTTGAAAGTGGAAGACTTGAAGAAACCAGCTGTCTTTAACAACAGGTGTGTGCAGTCTACCTCCTCTTTTAAGTCGTATAATATGCTGAGTAATATCGAGTTAAGATGTAGAAGGTTAGGTAAGGAGACCAAGTCAATCAGTGAGGTTGTGAAACTGCATCTATTCAGATGGCTAGGACACATGTTATACACGTCAATTCATCTTCTTTCTCCTCAAGTGATATTATTTAGCTGTGATAAGATGATTAGGTTGGAAATGAGTTAGAGGTGATCAAATTAAAACTTGTCACCACGAATCCATCAAGTCTGACCGTTGTTTCGAGCCATTCGGTCAGGTGTAGACTGTCTGACTGGAGTGTTTTTGACACGGTTCAAAGTCGTTCTCAATGGTTCAGATTACATTCAGTCTTTGTAGTCTTCCAGATCCATCAAGTTCTTAATATTTTGCACGTGATTATTATTTCTATCTCACATTTCCATTCACTACAGCTGCTTAGATATCTTTACTCTGCCTTGGTGCGCTATATGGAGTGTGGAGAATTGAACAGCTGTACTTCTGTGTAATGTTCTATATTGCTAACTTAGTCACTCATGTTAAGTCATAACTCTATTTCTTAGGGCTTATTACTCTCGTAAGTGTCACTATGAAAGACATGTTGTTACTGGCAGCATAAGACATACTGCTGAGTCATTCACATGAAAAGGACTAAAAATGAACTAAAGTTGGAACATATTTATTCCAATGCATTCGAATAGTCTAGCAACATATCAGTCATTTTAAATACATTAAAACACATTTCTTTCAATTCAAGTACACTCATTATCTTATGTTTGAATGATCGAGCAAAATATTTCATGTCACCAGCCAAGAGCAGAAATACATGTTACCCTCAAGTTTTCACCAAGGATAGTAACACATCACACAGAGGTACATAAGCTTACCAACAATCTTGAATTGTCAACTGCTGGTGTGCAAGAATTTGATTGATTTCAATTTTGATCACTTATAGAACTATTAAAGACCAGTGAGTGATGGACAGCTGTTTTGTCCTTGTTTGGAACTCTTCATCAGTACCCACTGATGACTCCACTAAAGACGAACCGAAAACCCTCAGGTGGTCGCGCTATTTAGTGAAATGGCAGTAGAATTCGTAGGCCATTCGATTCCGTCCCAGTGGCCGAATAGCATATGACTTCACCTTGTAACCTGAATGTCCTGGGTTTGACCCCTGGTGGGGTCATAGGTGTGTACCACTAAAGAGCCTCGAACAAAGACGAAACACCTTTTCTGTACTCACTGGTTTTTACAATAGTTCCATAACTGAAATCGATTCGTGATGAAAACTGAAATTATGTTAGTAGATTCCAGCATACTTTGATTAACAAAGTGTGTTAAATGACGACGAAAGAAGTCATTTAGTATGTATATTTTCATGTCATTCAACTGTTAAAATACACAGACCATGGTAAATGACAGTGACTAATGATTTATATAGATTCATATGGCAAAGAGGTGACATTAGTATATGACAATGACGCTTCCAACAAGTAAATCATCTAGTCTCATGCATTTCTGATAACAATTAAACTAGTCAAATTTAGAAGTATGTGTGAAAAATTAATCTGATCCTCCTAATTAACCAGCTGTTAAGCAACCCCAAATCCCAGTAGGTGGGGTGGATTTCGAGCCTATGACCCATTTGGCTGGGAATCGGGCGCTTAAACCCATGAGCCACAATTTTATCCCGCTACTCAGTAGGTGGGATTCGAAAACAGAAGGAGTCTAGGCCCAAGGAAGCCAAATGTCAACCCCTCCCACACTCCCTTCTTAAGTCGAATAGAGGAAGCAACTGACAAGTACATAAACACACTGAATAAACAATTTTTAATTGGACACACTGGAATTTGTTTAGGATTATGATGACAACTAAAAGCCAGATCATTCAACTGAGTTGATAGACCAGTAAAACAGTCATCAGTAGACATTTTTGTTCAGTTTCATTCAATCAATCATTTAAAACTACCACCAATACAGTAATGAACTGAGACTTGATCATTTTAAACAAGACATTCTAAAGGAGCATGAATACCGAAATACATCATTCAACTAACAAAATATATTCCAAAATCATAATAACTTTAAAATTAAATATATAACACCGCCAGTAACATACGTTTATAGGTCCAGCCAATAGCAGAATGAGAAAGCCAACTGTAAGTCCAACACCCAATTTACTGAAATCTCTTTTGGAATTCAGTGTATACATCATCAACGACAAGACAACTGCAGTAGTTAATGCAAACGCTTGTAGTACAACAGTCGCAGAGTATGTGATAACTAATAGGTAAAACAGTAAAGGAAAATACATATAGATATATTTCAACCTATATTAATAGGATACCAATTTAGTTAAAAAATAATTTTAAAAAACCTGTAAATGAAAGTTATACAGTGTCTAAAAACATCAACATGGCAAATTAACCGCTGAACTTGATAAAAAAAACACGAGGAATATGTGTCCAGCACTTAAAGTCAAAATTGACCAGTGGTTTTTTGTGGTTTACATCGATTAGCATTACTCTATACTTGCATTACTTCAGTTGTCTGATTTTCCTATCATCCCATGCCTAGCCATCACCTTCCTCAACGGTCAATGTTAGCTGACATAAGATAGGGCTGGAAAAGAACTATTGGTGGTCAAACCAAAAAATGGCTTAATCGGTCAATGAAATCCATAACAGTTAGTTTGAGCCAACCACGTCAGAAGCTGTAGACTTCTTGGTTGGGGTCCTCGGGATGATAATCACCAATGAAGGCTGGAAACAATCAGTGATATGGCTCAAAATCGTTCGTAATGGCTGGCGCAGATGCATTCACCCTTTGTGATTAGTCATATCCAATGAAACTCTATTGCTTTTTTTCATATTACTAATCTTTTTCCTTCACATTTTTGCTTATTATCTCTCTTCTCTTGCTTTGTGTGGTACGTGGAGTATGGCAACTCGAATGGTTGCACATCTGTGAAAAGTTCTACGTTGTAGCCAGCCAGCCAATCATCCTTTGCATACCGAGTGGAACATGGGTCTGCAAACACTTCTAAAGTTTCAGTAATTGTAGTGTTGCATTTGAGGGGTGGGGTCGATAGCCTTATACTCAACTTTTCTTTTTTTCAGACTGGGGTTCGGAGAGAGAGATAGCATTCTACCAGTGAACCACAGACGATACAGTTTTACCAATTAATTAATCTATTGATTTCAGGATATAATAAGAGGATGTAAACTAATAAACAGTCTGAAATAAGGAAAGATTATCTTGCAGCTATCAACTGAATATTCGATCAACATCACTTAATGATGAAAATTACTTCTGTGAATGAGAGAAAAATGCGTTTCTGTGACACATCCTGTTGACTGCAGTATAAAGTACTGAAAGTACTGGACAGCTATTTCGTCCTAGTTTGGGACTCTTCACCAGTACGCACCCAGGACCTTCTGGTTACAAGGCGAGCTCGTAGACCATTGAGCCACTGGGACCCGATCCAATGGTCCTTAAATTCTGACTTCCAGTGGTTCTCTAACTGATGTCAGCTCATGATAAAATCCTCCATGCAATCAAACAAAATCCCTACAAAACCAATACTTGAGAAAAGTCTGTCGCAAGTATAAACAACAACAGGTGTTTGAGTAGGCAATTTTCATTGACCTGATCGATGAGACACTCTGTGAAAAGACTTCTAAACTAATAAGGTTAAATGACATTTTTTGGATTAAAGTAATATTACTACTGTCAAAAAGTTGAAATACTGAAAACCTCATCGACTAACTGACGAAGAAATTTGAAATCACCAGGATTTTCTTGAATTCAACCAGCATAAAAGTCAGATAATTATTAAATTAACGTTTTTGGTCAAGCTAGTTTTCTGAAGCACTTTTCTTGTACATTGTAGATAATGTTATCATCACATGCGATGCACTGCATCTTCTCTCAAGATAAAGAAAATCTCTAGATTACCATTATACTCTATTTATTCCATGTCAGTTTCCGTATTGAACAGCTAGACAATGATGTCACATGCCAAATAATTCACAACGGCAACCTCAATGAAGTCTCTAAAGTGAAGACATGAGTAATACAATGATGCCTGTTATCACTGATGATGTTTCTCCTTGCCGTGGACTGGATCATACGACAGACAGTAGGGAGTGAAAAGAAAGGGATATAGTGGACCTATTAAAAAACCCGGGCAGATCTAGATTTCACCAAGGATTTCAGTCTCATGTTCTACAAACTCGAATATATATAAAGATGAAAACCTGCAAGCTGGTAGAAGATGAAGCAAAGACAGCAATTCAAGTGAACACAGACAAAACAAAGACGATGAAGACGCCTAACCAACGACAACAAGCATAAGTCTCCATCTATTGGAGAAGTCTAAATGAAGTCACCTCCTTCACTTACCTTGACGTCTTTTTAAGTATAAGAGGCACGGATGAGGATGTCAAAGCCACGACCAGAGAAGCAACACAGATGTCGATAACTCTTAAATCGATGTAGAGATCCACATTACAGGACTTAGTATACGGAACAGGATGAAGATTTTCAACATCTCTGTCAAGTTAGCGCTTCAATGTTGTTCAGCTACTTGGTGATTCCGCCAACGAAAGCATTTCTAACAACCTGATGCAGAGTTCCAACAACACATAACTTCACTCAGTACTGAAGATCACTTGGTTAGTCGGTAAGGATAAATGACAAAAAACTCTAGGAGTGCAGCGAACCATCCAAGAATTTATTACCCAACAAACATGCGGAAGGAGATAGAGCGGGATCGGAGGAGGCCGTTGAATGACATTACATACCAAGTCCTTGAGAGGAACTCGAAAGAGAAGCGACATGTTGGGTGTTCGACAGTGCCATAGAGAAGATAGAGCGAAGGAATGTTAACTTGTCGGCGACCATGAAACCAGTTCAAGGTGATGGCAGAGAACAGAATGTAATTGAAATGTGCTGTTAAAGCTCCAAATTCCCCTCATAACACACAGAACGAATAATAATAAAATGATAAGATTCAGGTATTTCACAAATTTAGAAACATTAAACGTGCTGCAAGGGCAAGGTTAAGGAGACTCAGTCAAAACTGGGTCCTTTCCCAGGGTCATCCACAGTCTATACTTCTGTTTTGACTGGAAACTGCTGATTTGTCATTGGATAAGCGACAATGTGTTACTCCGAGAGATTATACCGTACTTCTTTTCAATAATCACCAACGTTTTCTCAGCTAAATTCACGAATTCCATTGTTTACTTGGAGAAAATTGGTTTAAAAGTATTACCAAACCTTTCTCCATTGCCTGAACACTCTTTTGAGAAGTACTACTTGAACTAAAACCATAACATTCTGAGTACACAATTTTTAACGAAACGACTGATAATTAGTTAAACTGTGAATATAAATAAAAGATACACATTTACATATCATAAGGAAAAAGGAACCAGTAATGCATTACATACCCACATATCCGACAAGTATAGATTCGCACAAAGTCTATAAAAGTAATTAGATTTAAAAGAATATGAAATATATTGAACTTACAAATAAGAATAACAACACGAAATTGGTTGGTGTTTCTTGCCTTTTCCACATCAACGAGATTAATATTGCAAATGTGCTTATGAACAGTAAAAACGGTACCCAGGCACTAAAATAAAATTTTAATAAAAAGTTTTGTACTAAAAAAAACTTACTTTTGTCGAAGGCTATCCAACAGAACTGGCTTTAACGCCATCATTACTCCAGCGCATAATGAAGTTATCAAGAGCTGTGTGAAAAGAATCCCGTAGACTTTGCGTAAAAATCCTTGATTACGTAAAACAAAAAATAAAACCATTTTAGTCTAAAATTCGAGGAATTAATATTAATTTAAAACGGATTCCAACAAGTTATCGCCGATCTAATTAACTGACTTATCAATGAAGAATTCTGCATGTAAAGTGCAGCAGTTTAAGCCGTCACACTTTGGAAAAACACACAAAGTAGAAAAAGAAATGTAGTGAGAAAATCAATGGACGAAGATATACAACAGAAAACAATTACATCAAGATTAGTGAGGATTTTTCGAATCTGTAAGATGACACGGAGGGAATACATTCGAGATATTGTAAGTCACTTTGCGATATGTACCAACCATCGATTATTAGCACGCCGAGAATCACAGGCATGCAGTCTACACCTCTCTAAGTGGTTCAAACTAATAGCCAAAGACCTCATAGATTATTGTAACGTTTTGGTCTACCTGCATCTCATTTCGAGCTATCCCTACTTCACCTCGTCGAGGAACGCAGTGACCAAACATACGTAACGCATGTTTTAGTTACCTCAACACACTATCCCTAACATCATTATTACTGATCAGATCACTCCACCCAAAATGAAATTGAATGGAGGTATCTATGACCAAAAATAGCTACTCTTCCTATGCCTTTCACCTTCGATTGCAATTTTTCAACCGTAAAATATGATATGCTTCATGTGACAAATAGCTGGAAATCATGTCTGTGCGCTAAAGATGAATTAAGTGAATAAATACAAACGAGTCTTCCGTATCTTTGTACTGGGATTTCATCAACAATTAGTCCATTGGTGTTGGTATAACAAGTTAATTAGTTAACACATTTAACTACCATGCAACCTATCTCAGTGCAGACCTGTCCTGCTACATTACATTATGTTTAACAGGGGCGAATAGTATGTCACATATACAAGGTGTTTGGAAGACTTTTCATTTCATCAGTGTCTTCACCTAAAAGGATAACATTATTTGCATGCTCCATATCAGAGGGACTATTTTCTCATGAAGAGTTAGTTGTTGAATCATTGAACTGAACAGTAGTCACATCCATTATTAGAGTTATACGGAAATTAAATAAAAATGCTGACGGTAAATATCACCGACGAACGCTGGTTGTCATTATATCAAATGATAACTTTCCACGAGCTCTCATACGGTTACATGAGTTCAAGCAGTCTTGATTAGTATGATGTACCTTTTCGACACTCTCTTTGACGCATTTCCTTTAATTCAGCACCAATTTTTATAAAAATATTTTATTCCTTTACGATCCCAGTGGAACATAGGGCTTCGAGCTACAGGCTTGAAGTTTCTGTAGCAGAGGTGATTATTTTTACAGGATGAGGTTGCTAGCCTCATACCCAACCTTCCCCGTTTACCAGTCTTATTACTGGCTTAGCGAGGTAGAGGAGTGCGTCGACCAGAAATCGAATCCCGAACCACCCGCCTGGTTGGCGACCATTTTACCGCCGTGCCACCAACGCACAATCCAGCAACAATGCACATCAAAAAACTTCTCTTTATTACATTAAGGTACATCGTGAATACGCAACGATAGTGTCTACTACTGAACTATCAAACATCTAGATATTATACAGCCACCATCTGCATTTATATGCACACGCAAAGAAATACATCAACAGTGTAAGAGATGGAGACACTATCTGAGTGACCAAATCGCAATATGTGAAATGAGGTTCAGAAGCCTAACGCAGTGGCTGTAAGTCACACAACTGACAATTGCTACCTTGACGTGGTGACCTGCCTTGCATATTTCGGTGACCCAGCGAGCCACACTAACTTGAGTGAATACTTCTACATGTGCTACCAATTCAAAACGAGCAAGGGATAGTGGTTCGACAAAAAGCAGTTACTACCATAAAGTAAGTCACTCTTAATTGGCATGGAGGATCGAGGACGATGTTGTACGGCTACCAAAACACCTACTGAGTTTCCAACAGCTGTTCAGTTTGCCACACTCCACTTATCACACAAAGGCAGAGAAAAGAAATCTAATGAACTACAATGAATGGGAATGTGCGAAAGAAATAATTATCACATGCAAAATATTAAGAACTTGACCGATCTGGGAGACTACAAAGAGTGAATTCATCTGCACCACTGAAAACGAATTCGACCCATGTCAAAAGCACTCTTCAATCATCGGTTCTTAGGATCTCGAGGATGCCAGTCAGACAGTTTACACCTGACCGAATGGCTCGAAACAACGGTCAGACTTGATGGATTCGTGGTGACAAGTTTTAATTTGATCACCTCTAACTCATTTCCAACCTAATCATCTTATCACAGCTAAATAATATCACTTGAGGAGAAAGGAGATGAATTGACGTGTATAACATGTGTCCTAGCCATCTGAATAGATGCAGTTTCACAACCTCACTGATTGACTTGGTCTCCTTACCTAACCTTCTACATCTTAACTCGATATTACTCAGCATATTATACGACTTAAAAGAGGAGGTAGAACGCACACACCTGTTGTTAAAGACAGCTGGTTTCTTCAAGTCTTTCACTTCCAACTACCGTATCTTACAGTCATAAAGAAGAAAGGAGCGAACTGCTGAGCAGTACAAAACTTGATAGTCGGATATGTTTACACTAAAGATGACTTAAGTTGGAAAATGCCACATCAACCCAATGGGGTTGATGCAACTTCTCAAATAAGTGAGGCGGTCAACACGCCCAATCACTTCACTCCATATTTAGACTAGAAGTCAATACAGACAGGGCAGTCCTGAAACGTCATCTTGCATATGACAAGTGCTACTTCCCACATGATGTATTCAAAGTTTCAATCGCAAGTTTTCATTTAACCACTGATGATGTTTAGGTGACAAAGATGTCTGGCGAGCCTTCGTATGTTTTCCATTCTATAAAAAATGCTGAAGTATATTTGGGAGCCTAAGCTTTCGAGCCACTTCATCGCATATGGAAACCCCGACAAAGTTAGCCCCGATAAAATACAGTTGCTATCATTCTTAGCAAGTTCATGTGTGCTAAAATGCGAGAAAACGAAATGAGGAATAAGATGAAAGCGGTTACCACGGCATACTTCCACCACGTCCATCACTCCATGGCCAAAAGGGAGAGCCAGAAAAGAGTAAGCATAGATTTCGAAGGTACACTTCAGTGAACACAATGGATGTTTCAATGTATACCATTTAACCACATACTGATTTCATTTTAACAGGTCGGTGGAAACAACAAGACTATTGACAGGAAGAATATTTCCACAAAGCCGTTAGTCAAAGTGTAAACATTCATTACTGCATTACATGCTTTACTTATTATTAAGTCATTTCGGGATACTTCCATGGACCTACTGGATGACGGCTAAGTGGCATAATCAGTAAATCACCCAAAATTAAAAAAAACTACCAATCTACTTGTGTATATAATCTTTAAATTTTAGTTATTAAATACTCATCTGAAGAATTGTATTTTCTTTCATTATCAGTTGTAATCATACAACTTAAATATAAAATGTCTATAATGAATAAGTATTTTCATGGCTATGGTTTTATTCAGTCCTACTAAGGTTGTTTTTGGTAACATATAACACAGAATTAAACGATTAATAGGCGAAGATAAGGAGCCATGAGGGGAAATTAAGTGCAAAAAGGAAAATAAAGGGAAAAAGAGGACAATGCATCGTTTGGAAAAAGGGAGAAATCATTAACAAAGCTCCCCTTATTTCCCCCTTTTCGTCTAATCAGTTTCCCCTTTTTACTGCACTATTAAACGCATTGTTTCCCCTTTTTTTCTCCGACTGGCTGATAATTCAATCAGTCGCGTTGGTTGTCGAGCGTCTAAACCAACCTGTCATCACTGGACAGAAAGTGGTCGTTGGCGAAGTTCCTTTTGATTCTTTATCGTCAAAATAAACTGCCTAATCGAAATCAGTTCAATTACTTCCACTAACATCCCATACATATGTCTTTAAACGATTCGCCAATGAAAATATGGTAGTGAAGCAAACTCTTTCGGCTACGACAACTACTAAAGTGACAATGAATTATAAAAGCAAACTCTTTGGAATAAACATTTTAAAAAAATGTATTGAGTGATGGCGAATGCCAAATGGGGAGTGAATTTAGATGCACGGACAGTGATATTCGAAAGTGAATTCTGTCGGAAAATCCTAAACCACGACTGAAATCAACATAAACGTATGAAACTTACTCAGACGAATAGTTACATGTGCATTAGCGACATTATTGTTATAAGCAAAATCTTTCTCAATAGGATTCGCAGACTCCTGATTCATGAAAAGTGAATCCATATTGTTTGATACTTCCGTAAATACTAAAATTGAAGAAGTGTGGAGGGAGTAAATTAAAACGAAATCATATGACACGTCTAAGACCTGCGTTACAGACAAATGACATATATCACCTACTTTATCCAGAAGCCTGGTACTTTCAATGCCTACCACTTTACCTTCACAAGGAAACAAAGTTGTGAAATTTCAGAAAAGATATTTTAAATGTCTCATTTCCCTTCAATGCGAAGTAGGCATAATCCCTACCGTTTAGTACAGTCAACATGTCTACCAAGGCAGTAAACTTCTTGGGTGCTCAGTAGAGCCCCAGAATCTTACGACACACCACAAGATACGCAACATGTCTGCTCGAAGTTGTCAGTCTGAAGTGTGCCTCAATTCTTCGGGAATATACGAGATTTCCATTCTCCATAATCCCTGCCCTAATTGAAATCGGAGTATTTGAAGGATCTTTGGGGAACAGTGCTGCATTTCACCAGAACTCCAAAATGTTTTACTTTGGGTGTGTGGCGACGCTGCTTACAGATTTACTCACCTAATTATTTTACGGAAAACAACCCCAAGGACTTTAAAATCATCAGAATCAACTTTTAACTTTGGCTGCTGAATGAATCATCTGCACAAGGCTGTCGAAAATGTCTGCAGTACACTGAAAGCTATTGTTGACATTCATCGACAGCTATTAACAGTTTACATGTAAATAGTCTGCAGACTAGAAATGTTCCTAGGCTACTTCAATGCATCATAATAATTGTGTTAGAATCTCAATGTTTGTGTAATTTTATGTTTTTTAATAGTTTAGAAACACATTATATATAGTGTATCACCAGGTTGTATATACTTGACGCAGCGTATTTCTCCAAGTCACTTACGTGCAACGACCTTGATACCAAAAAGGGTGTTAGAATCCAATGTCCAATAACCAATATCCTATATTGTTTTTAGGCAGAAATTAAACGTCACGTATAAGGTCATTTATGGAGTGAGACGCTCAAAGGTCACTTTCGTCCATGTTAGTCGGCCATGTTGGATTGCAGTTCCGTAGCTGTTCGTTTACACATTGGTTTTTCCATTTATCCAGCAGTTATTCACAACTTATCTTGATGCACATTGTTCACAAATGTTGCGTTTCACTTCATTATTGTTTCCGTTTCTGTTAAAATTAGTTATTTCGTTTGTTTCGAAAGTTTTTACCACCATGTCATTCATTCATTTCATCATAATTGTTTCATACGTTGCATTCATGCATGGTTTCAGGGTTTTAGTTGTTTTTCAGCTATTAATGAATTAGTACTGTGTAGAAGTTTTGGAAATTATGCACATGAACATGTCTGGATGGCAGAACCTGTTGTTTCCAGTTCATTCGTTGGTTGCTGTTATTGTTGCTGGCTCAATTGGTAACTTAATATGTAGGAATCTGGAAAAAATGTCTTTCACGTTCATGTTTACAGCATGCAACAATCTACGAGTGAATCTGGTGAAGAGAGCACAATCAGGGTTGATATTAGCAAAGTTTTCGAAGAACAAATTAAACCTAGAGAATTTAGAACCTGGTTGGAAGTTTAAAAAGCTTTGAAGCTTTTCGACAAGGTGTCTGTTGTCGGCTAAAAAAATCAGATATATTGTGAGAGAATCAAAATCAAGCAAGGATGAGCCACATGTGAAGTATGAATGTGTTGTGTTTGTATGTACTTTTGGAAGCAAAATTAGGAAGCAATAGGAAATCCCTAAATGATTGTTAATGTTGTAGTGACCCATTTTATTACTCATCATCGCAGTATACTTTCACTATGTAATTGGACTTTGATTTGTTTATTACTCTAAATCTTGCATGTTAACAATTGATACTTTTGTACTCGCTCGATTTTTGAATTTTGATTGCTGCAATAATACACTATCGTATTCCTTCACAAGTGCCTTTTGAGTTACGTTGTGGATGTCGAGTAATCGCAACGTGAGGACACAATTATAAACGCGAAGAAGTACTAAGATATACGTGTACGCTAGTTTAGTAAAAATATAGCAGCACAACAATTGGTGAGCCCGACATAGCTGATCGATCGACTACACCATTTCGAAATATACACACAGTGGATTTAATTATCTTTGCTATCGTATTTACTTTTATAACTGCATAACATTCGGATATATATTTACTGATATTTTTGCTTAAAGTACCTCGGTAAGCAGAACATTTTTGGACATTTTTGAACTTACCTATATTCTGTTCTGTTTTTGCTCACTTTTTGTAATTTTGCTGTCACCTATATATATTCTTCTCTGCACTTTTATGATTTCATTTAATACTGATAACGACACTTTAATACAAGGTCTGTGGCTGCAGCTACCATATCCATACCACCTTTTAAACCTAACGACCCATATTTGTGGTTCACTCGCCTGGAACACTACCTCCTAGCCAACCACGTCACTTCTCAGACTATAAAATTTGGCCTTGCAAGCTCCATATTACCTGACGATGTAGCAGAGCAAGTACGAGAGACGCTCATGCATCCAGATCCAGAAACTCCGTACGATGTTTTAAAGCAGAAGGTTAATAAAGTTGCTTCATTATCATATCAGAAAGCTATCGATCAGCTACTCAGCAATGTTAGCCTGGGCGATAGAACACCTTCTCAACTCAAAAGCCATATGTATTACATTTTAGGAGATCGGAAGGTAGACGCCAGGTTTTTCTATCAATTGTGGCTAAGACGATTACCCCACAACATTCAGCAAGTATTAGCATTTGGAGATGAAGACGTAGATATTGACAAGTTGGCAGAAATCGCTGACAGAATGTATGAACGGATATCTCCACAAGTAACATCTGTAGTCGACAAAACGTCAAACGAACGCATAGAAGCCTTAGAACGTAAAATCGACGTGCTCACTGAGCAATTAATGACAATGAGGGTTAATAGACAGCCTACCACAACGTACAGAAGACAGCGTAGCCACTCACGCAATATGCGTAAATATAGCTTACAACAGACTATATACTGGTATCATCGCAAATTTGGGGTACACGCAAAACGGTGCATACAACCTTGTGCTTTCCAACAAACGGTGGCGTTGGGAAACGAAAGGGCCGGCGGTTGGTGACGACTGCGGTCGCTGGCCAACACACGTCCCACAGCCGTCTATTCAGGGTGACAGACAAAACAACGGGGGCACAATTCCTGGTAGATACCAGTGCAGAAATTAGTGTAGTTCCCCCAACACCCAACGAACGCTTACAACCAAACCCAACATTAGTTCTCAATGCTGCGAACAATTCTACCATAAAAACGTTTGGAACTCGGAGACAAAAACTTAATTTTGGATGCAGTACACCATTTGAGTGGGAGTTCGTGGTCGCCGACGTAACCTTTCCTATCATTGGAATAGATTTTTTCAACACTACGAATTGCTAGTTGACTCTAGTCACCATAGATTGATAGATACCAGTCGTAAACTATCGACTTCAGGCATCTCCACAGATGTCGAGAGTATTCGCTTGATGGTAGCCACAACAGATCAATTATCCAGGTACGATATTTTGCTGAGGAAATTTCCTGAACTGACACAGAGCGATTACTCCACAGCCTCTCTCAAACACAACGTAACACACCATATTGTAACTAAAGGTCCACCGGTCTCAGCAAAACCACGTCGTTTAGATCCAGCCAAAAAGCAAATAGCAAAAGCAGAGTTCAACAGATTATTGGATCTAGGAATAATACGACCGTCAAACAGCCCATGGTCATCACCACTGCATATGGTACCAAAGAAAAACTCGACAGAGATATGACCATGTGGAGATTACCGAGCTTTAAATAAGCAGACGATAGCAGATAGATACCCAATTCCTCACATCCACGATTTTTTCCATAACATGGCAGGTGCTCAGATATTTTCCCAAATTGACCTCGTTCGTGCATACTACCATCCCCAAAACGGCGGTAACCACTCCTTTTGGCTTATTCGAATTCGTCCGCCTACCATTTGGCTTGACTAACGCAGCGCAAACATTTCAGAGATTCATTGACCAGGTATTGCACGGCCTCCCATTCACTTACGCTTATATCGATGATATACTGGTTGCAAGTTAATCCCCTGAGGAGCACCAACATCACTTAGAAACACTCTTTAAACGTTTAGCCGAATATGGAATTGTCATTACACCAAGTAAATGTGAATTCGGTAAGAAAACTTTAAAATTTTAGGGACATCAGGTAGACAATCAAGGCATTCGACCAATAGCAGAACAGCTGCAAGTCATAAAAGAATACCCGATTCCAGATTCCTTCAAAAATTTACGCAGATTTCTTGGTCTCATCAATTTTTATCGCCGTTTCATTCCTCACTGTGCACAGCTGGCCCAACCTCTGACAGATCTACTAAAAGGTCATGCAAAATCGCTGCACATGAGTACTTCAGCAATCGAGGCATTTGAAAAGCTGAAACAAACTCTAAGCTCAGAAACTTTACTAGTACGTCGCGACGTCAACGCTCCTATAGGTATTATGACAGATGCATCAGACGTTGCCGTCGGCGCAGTTCTTCAACAATTTTCTGATGGAAAATGGCAACCTCTCGCCTTTTTCTCCAAACGTCTAGACGCCACTCAATCAAGATATAGTGCATTCAGTAGAGAATTACTAGCAGTCTATCTTGCTGTTAAACATTTTCGTCATATGGTAGAAGGCATACCGTTTACCATCTACACAGACCACAGACCTTTAACCAAGGCCATGAATGCAAAGCACGACAAGTACTCGCCAAGAGAACTCAGACACCTCGAGTTCATTTCTCAGTTCACTTCAGATATTAGATTCATAAAAGGACATAAAAACGAGGTAGCAGATGCGTTATCCCGCATCCATATAAATACCTTAGAAAAAGACCAGTTTGATCTTAAAAATATGGCTAGACTGCAAACTATGGACGAGGATCTGAAAAGAATAAAAAATAGCACGAGTACTTCCTTACGTTTGCAAGATGTTATGCTTGATGAA